CTCCCATTAGAGGATTGTAAGATAAAGAAAATTATAGAATTGTATGCCCTCCTCGATATTCTGCAAAACATAGTCAAGCTATATAGTGTTCGAAAAAGTTTAATTCCAATGAAATTTTAGTTGCACTCATTACATCATCAATATCGACTAGAAATCGAAATGATCCTTTCTTTAATAAAACTACATTAAACTACATGGTTAAGCGCGATCCATTCTCAGACAAATGGTATGAAAAATATGCCTTTGATCTTTATTCAAATCAAAACTATTCTTGTATTTTTAAATAAGACAGTGCAGTTGTTTGAGTGATTAGTAATTATAGAGTTAGAATGAGAAAATATGTGTTCAGAAGCTATCCGTGTGTGTGTTCATTTCTTTTTGCCATCCCTTTCCATAGTTGGGAGTTGGTCTCGCAAGCCAGATTTTTGCTCGGGATCCCTAAACACACATACATGAAAGGTAAAACAGAAAAGGATGATAAGAATGACTTACCAGACGTTGTGTGCAACTATCTTCTCCTCCAGATTGTACGGTTTCAAAGAGGGATATTCGCTGGTAAAATTATCCTGTGGTTTATACCCGAGAAGATGACATGTGCTCGTTATGTCCATTCGTTGAAAGGTGTTTTTCGACAGACCGTGAACAATGGCAAACTTGAGATCGGCAGGAGCGTCGATGCAGCATTCGAACAGGTGCACGCAGTCCCGCTGAGACAGCCACGCGTCCATCATCCACAGGCCACCATCTTCCTTTCTTGCACTTGCGTGCGGCTGAAATGCTCCGATTCGAACGGCGATCGCCGACAGGCCCTCTTGTTCGGCCATGTACCGAGCCAGTGCTTCGCCGAAACATTTGGTCACACCTTCAAACATCAATGAATGATAAAATGGAAAGATCTACAGAGATACTCACTTACCATAAAGATCTCCAGGGTTCACCGGCTCGTTCGTTTTTGCTTGGAAATCACGCGGACTGCCCGAAATCGCGTGAATCGAGCTGGCGAAAACGACGCGTTTAACACCAGCTGCTCTGGCTGCCACAAACACATTGTAGGCCCTAAAAGTGTAATGTGAACCTCTCAAGAGCTTATTATCATTTCCATCCTACCCGTCAATGTTTGCGGCACGCAATGACTCCCATGTCGCGTTTGCATCGGGCACACCAGCCAGATGAATAATCGTATCAACGCCTGCAAATACTTGTTTCAACCCTTCGAAATTGTCCAAAGTACCTTCGACAATTTCACCGAACGAACCAATCGCGTCGGTTTGTTTCTTGTTCGTCTTTGATCTTATCTATTTCCAAGAATACTTTAGAACACAGTGAAAACAAAAGTGCGGCGACTTACCATTAAACGGAGTTTGTATTTCTTTTTATCAATAAGTTCGGCTACGCATTTGCCGATACCGCCAGCTGCACCAGTGACCAAGACAACTCGTTGTGACATAGTAATAAGCTATCTATCTATCTGAAATGAGATGAATGAGTTGCAAATGCAAACTGTTGTCATAAACAGAGCGAACACATTTCATTTCTTTTGCAGCGGGCTGAAAAGGCAAACTGTATTCTGTTCTATCCTGTGTTTACTTTATACAACGATAGATTATAACTTACACACGTACAATATCCTAAATAAGAGCCACTTTGAAGTTACGCATCATCGATTTTTGCATTTGTGATTGTCATAAGTCGTATAGATACACAGGCATACCCATACGCATTGAAGATTATGAAAGAAGAAAACTTTCCGATCGTGAACTATTAGTTTCTTACAGGATTGTATCTGATGAGGTTCTGCCATCATAATGTATCACTACTCTAGTGTTAATCACTCAAATTTTTATTGAAACTGGCCGCTAAGAGTATATAGCTAGTTTCCGTTGAGACCAGAAACTCATTTGAAACAGATTAGAGCTAAAACTAGAGAACAGAAAATAGTTACTAAGCTAGTTCTCTATGTGTGAACAACGACGTGCCCATATATATATATATATATATATAAGTACTTATTCCGGAAAATACTTTTTTATATACATATATGTAAAAAAGTAAAATAATTTTATGAAGGGTTTATAAAATATGTTATTGAATGTCAAAGGAATAAGGTAGTGAATAAAAGTATTTC